ATATACATGTTATGAGACTTATTTGAATATAAAATTGTTGACAAAAAGGTTTTCATTGTCCTCTTAAAATATCTGTAGAATCTATACTGATATCCATTCTTTGGTTTTGGTCATTTGTTTTTTTTAGTAAACTTCTATTAGGCTGGCTAAGAGATGAGACTTATACAATCTTTTCTAGTAAGCAGAATTTAGGTCTGTTAATTTTCTGCAGTTTGTTTTCTGTTTCAGTGATTTCTCCTCAGTTATTTTTTTTTCCTTTTCTTGACTTGAGTTTAATTTACCTGTTTTATTTGATAAGAGTAAAGCTATGATCATTGATTGTGTCAGGGTGTTTTTGTTTGTTTGTTTGTTTGTTTGTTTTACAGAATCTCCTTCCCTGCTTCAGATTGGCCCTGAACTTGTCGTCTTACCATTTTATTTCATACTCTCCACAGAACTCTGTGGGCCAAAGAAGACCACTCTTCTTCTTACTCCCTCTCGCACTGTGCTGCTTACCTCACTATCCTGCAACACTTTCTCAGCCTTTGTTGATTGTTTGTTGTCTGTCTTCCTGTCTAGCTCCATAAGAAAATGTGCTCAGTCTTAATCTCTCCATATTCTTGGCATTCAGCAAAATACCGAGCACCCTACTAAAGGCTCAGTGATGCTTCTTTAATGTAGGATGGAGGTGAACAAAGCCACAGGACTTAAAAAGACATGTTGAGTAGTTCTATCCTGGTAAACTCTCCAGAACCACCCTTTTTATAAACACTGTGCTAGAAAATATAAATACAAAAAATACAAATTGTGAAAAGGTTTTCCAGATCTTCTAAGTCAGCAGCGGTCTCCTCCTTTTGTTCCCATAAGGTCTCCTTGCCCTTGCCCTGGTCCCTGCACTGGTCCCCTAAGCACTTTCTGCTTTTGGGTGTGCCTTCTCCCTTCATCTGGACAGTCTGCAAGCACCTAAAACAGGGACTGTATTTTCTAACACACATTTGTCAACCCTGCAGAAATAGCCTTTAAGCCTACAAGGGTTTTCAAATGCCCTCAATATGCTACCATGCCAAAAGTGACACAATAAGAAAGTCAGCATTTTAGGTTTAATAACAAGATTCTCTAGTTCCATAGTTTTGCACTGATTAGGATGTCAGCTGAGTATTAATGAAGCCCTAAGTTCCCACCAAGGACACTGCGCCTTGTGACGGGAAGATTTCCTCTGCCCCTTCTCTGCCTTTGCTCTTGTTTATATGCAAGGCCTTTTCAGTTTATGATCCCTGTTTTTTGCCTCACAAAAAGCTGATTCTGTTTGGCTGCAGAGCATAGGAACTGTTATGAAAAACAACAGACCAGAATATTTTTTTACATTTTTTGGTGTTCTTAAGAGTGCCCATTTTGAAATATAAATATTTATGCCTATTGCCCAGCTGAGCCTCCGTTTGTCAGGAGGGGACCTTCAGTGAGCCTGCAGTCTGCAGAGGACGTGTCTAAACAGTATTTACTGTTTATTATTACAAGATTGATGGAGAACTCTGGAGGGAGCAATGCCTGAAGCTGGTTCTCATATTTTGATTCCATGCATAAAAGAGCAGAAAGGATCAGCCCTGGGTAAATAGGCAGATGACTTCTGCCTTCCACACTGGTTGTGATAACTTACAGCCCCTAGATGTTCGGGCCACGGTAATCTCTCTGAATCATGCACACCTGGGAAAGCAATAGGCAATGCAAGCACAGCTCTTTTTTATGGAATAACTTTCTTTTTTGTTTATTTTTAAGGCTCAGTATTCTCCTCTACTTTCAAGTTCCCCAAAGGGTTATGGGGAGAGTTCTTTTCAGAGTGAGAGCCTGCTGTGAGGATAGAATCACGGTCTGAAACTTGGTCTGAAACCTGTTCCGGACTGTGCAGGGCTCATGGAATCGCTCTTCATAAGTCAAACCTGGGCGTGACAGCACGGTTGCAGAAGGTGCATGCAGTCTTGAAAGGCTGAGGGCTGAATGCCAGTCCCAGTCTTCATGAGAAGATTCAGTTGTTCTTTGGTTTACGTCTGAACTGGCAAATTGTGCCTGGCAAGTTTTGAGTCAGACATTTGTCATTTCATTGTTCTTTCTTTTTTATTCTGTAATTAAATTTACCTTTGTGTGTGTGTGATGGAGGAAACTCCAGTCCTAGTGCAATCTAAGCAAGCCCCCCTCCCCCACTCTATTACATTGAGTTTTATGGAACCCTCTGGTGTGTCCGTGTCCACTTATGTGCTTTAAACAAAACCAGAAATGACTTTGTCCTCATACTGACAGCTCAGCCTGCATGCTGTGTTTCACATAGGCTTCTCTGAAATGTGTGCCAGGCCATCATGGTGTGAAAGTCTCCAGGAAGTTCTGCTTTTTGCTCCTGTTAGAGACATGAAAGCAGGGTTGGCTACACAGTAACATTCAGTGGGCAGGACTGGTTGGGTGTGACAAAGAAACCTTTATTCTTGTCCTCCATGGTCCATTCATATTGGGTCTGTGAAGTTCGTATGTTCCCTCCCAGGGATAAAGTCACAGTGTGTCATGAATTTTGACTTTCAAGTAATCGAGTCTTCTACTCATTCATAGATAACATAAAGTCTCCATTTCCTTCATTAAAGTATCCAAGATGGAGCAATCTATTTAAAATAGCTCAAAAATTTCCGAACATGTGTTACTGTCTTGTCCAGCCCAGTTCTTGGGCTGCCTGCTTGTCAAGGGGAAGACAGAGTACTAGATTTCTCTCCTTTATTCTGCCCGGAGTTGCGTTTGTCTTCTGGGACCTTTGATTTTATTTGTTTTACTCTATAGTTGCCTCTGGCTCCTCCAGGGCGGAGGCGTGCAAGGAGGGATTAGTGAGGCTTGGGAAAGGGCAGGTTACATGATAAGCACCGCAAGCGCAAGTGTGGCTGGTGCTGGAGGGGCAGGTGTTGCCTCCTGGGGCTTCTCCTGGGGCTCTTCATGGCTTTGGTGGAAACTCACCATCACTTAATGTGGATGGGCTAGGAATCCGAGGCCACATGAAATGCCAGGATGCCCAGCTGAGCACTCCCAGCATCCGAGCACTCCCAGGACGCAGAGGTCCCTTGTTATTTTAATTTTAGCTCACATTAGCAGTACCTTGCAGTGGGACTTACCAGGACACTTTTCTCCAGGGATTCCTCCACTCCAGCTTCAGCTGATATTTTGTGTAGTGTCTGAGAATCAGCAAAGCAGCAGCTGGCATGCTTGATGTGTGCATAGCTTGGTGACAGCTCTTACATATCACTTGTTTGTTCTGGTGAGCTCTGAGAACTCCCAATCCTGCTGCCTCTTGTACTCTGCCATCAGAGAGGCTGACGAGCCACAGTCCCTGGCCCTTTGCATCTTGCAGATGGCACCAGAGTTCAGCACGGTGAGATAGACTTCAGGGTCATGTGGTGTTCAGGGTTCAGTTCAGTTGAGGGAGAAGGACTTTGTGCTCGCTGTTGGAAGAAATATGTATAATGCAACTGCCTCCAGAGACCTTCTGCATATTGCTGTCTTCTCTAATGTCTTTGTAGACTGCTGGCTGCTAAGTGGTCAGCTCAGGGTGGGACACTGATCTTGCTCACTTTGTTTGAGTGTCTTGGGGTGGCTTTCTCTTCACTCACTTTTTAAATATGATTGTACACTGTCATACATATCCTCAGATTTCAGTGCAAGAGTTCATCTTGGATGCTGAGACATAAAGAGTTCTCTGTTTGCATCACTTAAAAATCACTACAATGGCTAACTTATACTGATTACTTGTTGGATAGCAGATTCTCTCAGGGATATCATAGCTCATTCATCCACCTTTTCCTAATATTCAAAGAAACCAAAGCCTAAACAAACCAAATAATTTAGGTCAAGTGCAGCAAGTTAGCAAGCTGCAAAGATCTTCTAACTAATGTACATTATCTTCTTCTTGGAAGAACAGAAATCTTTGCTCTTAGAAGGAAAAAAAACAGAGTACTAATTAGGAGGAAATGCTCGAGCTGTTTAATAGTCCAGCTTTTGTGTTGAGAAGACCAAAATTCATGGAAAAACTAATAACAGCCACTCTCCCTTGCCGACCGTGCTCATGTATCTTATTCTCTTAGCTACTGTAGCAGTGTTGTGATGTGAACAGGTTTGTCCTCATCTTGTAGACAAGAAACAAGGGCAGAAAGGAGTGATATGACTTTTTCCAGGTTACAGAACCAGGATGATGGACTCGGGACAAACTGAAGTTTCAGATCATAACTGACTTTCCTCTTCACTCTGAAGGAACCCTCTATATGAAAGAATGTGTTCCATTGTGGGTCTCTGAGCTGCAACATAAGTTTAAAGTTTGTTGCGTAAATTTTCTACAGAAGAGTCAATAATATGACATAATCAAAATTTTTACTGAACTGCTTGAAAGCAGGGTGCATCACAGTCATCTTGGAACTCACAGTGCTGACCGAGAATGATTCTATCTTAGTGAATCAACTAAATGATAACTAGGTGAATGCATAGACACTTTTAAATTGTAAGAGTTCATATGAAACAGATTGCTGCATTGTGCTTCTCCTGTGTATTTGTATCATATAGGATAATCCTAGAAGAAGACTCAAAATAAAGATTGTCTGAAGTCGTGCTTCCAGTTCTGCTGTGGGAGGAAGTGGGGAAGGCACTGGGGTAGAGTTTTCCTTTGATGTTACAGATGTCACTGCACAGGGGACAGGTAGCTATGTCTACATGCCTTAGGGAAAATACAGGAAGCTTCTCTGAGTCACAAAATTTCCAGGAGCACTGCTTTAATTCAAAGAAGGATGATCCATAATTCAGATATCATAAATGAAGCAGGTACACCTCTCCAGCCAGCTTATCTAGCCTCTGAGGGTCTCATCTGCTGGCCTCAGGAGCCGATGGTGTGTGGTTGGCGGGGTGCACTGAAGTCTTCCTGTTCCCTGGCCCTGAGCTTATGAATGTGCTTTGACTCAGGCAGGTGGCTGATGTGCAAGGCAGCTAACCAGGTCTGTCTGTGTCCACAGGTCTGAGGCGCACTTACAGATGTACCATCTGCAGTGTCTCCCTCAACTCCATAGAGCAGTACCACGCCCACCTGAAAGGATCCAAACATCAGACCAAGTAGGTATCACCAGACCGTGATATTATCTCCAACATTCCCTCTATGTTTGTGCTATTTAAGACTCCAAAGTCTGGCTACCATCACTTAAAAAGACTTGCTCTCCCTTTTTTTGGCACAAGGAATGGTAGTTTTGTTGTTTTTATTTTTTGCAACATAATTCAGCATACTTTAGTGGTCATGAGGAAACTTTCTGATCCACTAAATGTTTAAATAAACAGTATTACTTCTATTTGGAGGATATGCCAGATTTTGTTGCATAGTTGGATGCTGTGAATTCTTCTGCTTCTTTTGTCTGGAAGAATATTGTCAATTATTATAAAAATTTAATAAATTCCCCAATATAAATGAGTCAGTCATTTATATAAATAGCTATTGCCAATTAAATGGAAGTGCATTCTATATTTTTTTTCAAAAATTCTCGTGATTTTAAATGGAAAAGACAAACCGGACATCACTTTACCTACATTTATGCTATGCATTCCTTTGAAAACCACTAATACACTTGGCATTGTGAGCATTTTCAAAGAAGCTGCTGGGGCCACTAATAAAATGTTAATAAAATAACAAAAGCAAAGGATGTCTCAAAAAGATGTAATTTTCTTGGATGTAATTGTTTTTATTCCTTTAATATTCATGAAAGAATCGTTTAATGGATTTGATTGTACCTAGGCCTCATGAATAAGGCATGATTTCATCCAACATGTCGAGTGCCCACTACATGTCAGATTTTAAGTTGTGCTCTGAGGAAGAAAAGATGAAGCAGTGCAGCCTTCCTTCCTGCAGCACCTGCTAGACTGGGTGACAGCACAGAAAAGGACAGGCTGCTGCCTAGTGCCATGTGCACACCTGCATCCTGCAGAAGAGGAAGGGAGTCGTGCAGGTGGCTTCACAGGGCTGGGAGCAGAGGCGGAGCCCAGGAGGCCATAGTCAAGGATGTTGGACTGTGTGTGACACCAAGTCCCTAGCATGGCCCTCGAAGCCTATTAGGAGCTTCTTTACAAACATTTTTGATGAAATGAATGTGTGATTTGAAAACCTCAGTAACCATTTTTCAGGCATCCATATGAGGAGGGACATTTCAGGTTAGAACTGTGTTGTAAAGACAGAGGTCCCTGGCTCTCAGCTCTCACCTCCGGGCTGCACTGTCTTGTGACTCAGCTTCATGGCTCACTCTCCCCTGACCCAACCCCAGGAATGTTTTGTGGGCAGGATGTGTGAGAGGCTGGTTGCAGTCACGTTTTTCCCAAGGCTTTCATTTCGCTCTCGAAGAGGAGAGCATCCCTGTGGCTTTGAGAAGGTGCTGGAGGCAGGACCTACGCGCGGTGTCTGAGCAACAGGGCCAAGTGGGGGAGAAGTCAGACCCCTGTGGATTCAGTCCTGGCTCAGCTGTTTGCTGTCAGGGAGATGCTGGGTGCATTACTCACCCTTCTGTGGTCTTAGTTTGCTCATGTAAGATAATGAGATTAATACCATTTATTTTAAAGATAGCTGTAAGGACTACACGAGATAACAAGTGAGAAAATACCTCAAATTTAGCTTGTCAAGTTCTTCAGAAAAGCCTTCATACTCTTGCCTACTAGCCCTCAAATGTGGTTGTAGATCAGCATGCATTTATGTCTTCGTTAACTCTTCCAGTGATGTTTTGTAGATTTCTCTATGGAAGTCTTGTATATCTTTCTTTATATTTATTCCCCAAAATGTGTTATTTTGGGATGGTAGGATAAATGAGATTATTTTAAAATTTTAAGATATTTTTTATGGTGTAAACACAGGCAACTTGTCAACTCTGTGTCCAATGGCATTGGTAAATTTACTTAAAATGATAATCATCTACAAGTAATTTTAAGATTTGATATGCAAATGTCATATAATTTGTAAATAATGATAATTTACAATATTTTTCCCTTCACTTTTTAAAGCTTTTAAAAAAATTTTAATGAGAATAAAGCCAAACAAGGTAAAATAGAAATTAATGACCGTGGAACATGATTTTTAAACAAGATAATAGGAAATCTACAATGGCTACCATAATGCCTCTTGTTATCTTCAAAATAGCTGCCCATACCATCAGACATAATACTAAAACCAAGCAGATCAAAGCAATATAAAACCAATAAAAGCAAAACAGTGAAAGAAATACAGGACTTCAAAATGAGATCACAGGAAATCAGTGATGGCTCCCATACTGTAACTTATTATCTTTAAAATAGCTGCCCATATCATTAGACATCGTAGAACCAAATAAGAGGAAACAGAATAAAACCTAACAAAACAAGACAATGAAAATTATACAGAACTTCAGGCAAGTTATTAGGAAATTAACAATGGGAGATACAATACTTTTACACAATGGAAAGCTACTTAGCTATAAAGTAGGATGAATCTCAAGGCTCTTGTAGGTAAATGGATGCAATTTGAGATCATGCTAATGGGTGAAAGGCTCGGACTCACATGGGTGAACATCCTTTTACATTTTATACAATTACCTGACTGCATTATGTAGGATCTTTGGTAATAAATTGAAAAAAAGTATTAGTAGCAACATTCTTGTTTCACTCTTTTGTTTTGAAGAAATTGTTAATCAATATTTGTTTGGAATATTTAACAATTCCAATTTTGGGGGGCACTGGTACATGCAGCTCATCTTGATTACGGTGTCCCCTCTTCCCTGGACCCGCTTCCTGTTATCTTTTCATTCATCTCAGGATAATTTTCAGATAACTTTAACAAAATTTGTATATTGACAAATTTTTATTAGAAACTTGATTTTCTTAATAGCATGCTACATATTCTTTATTTCTTTTTATACTGCTTTCAATACAGTATTTTCCAATAAATTTGCATATTTTGCCTATATTTTAAAAATGTGTTTATATAAAGTTGTTCCTGGTATTCTCTAATGTTACTTTGAATGTTTATAGTTTTTTTTTTGTGTGTGTGTGTTTTTCCTTTTTATCGGTACCAGGGATTGAACTCACAACCGCCTGCTTGCAAGGCAGGCGCTTATGCTGCTGAGCTAAATCCCAGCCCCCATTTATAGATTTTTTTTTTTTTTAATTCTGGACAGTATTTCTCCTTCTTTTCTTTTCTTTTTCTTTTCTTTTTTTCTTGTTTTTTTTTTTTTTTTTTTTGTTTGTTTGTTTGTTTTTTGGCTTTTTGAGACAGGGTCTCACAACTAGGCTGACCTTGAACTCAAGGTGGTTCCCCTGCCTCAACTTTCCAAATGTTCTCTTTCTTTTGATTATTCTTTGGAGGTTTATTAGTCTTTAAAAATGAAATGTGAAAGTTGTTGATTTTGTGTATTTCATATGCCATGTATTTTTCCCTCTTTCTGTTCCTACTGGATTTAACTTGCATTGGCCTCTTGGGTTCCTAATGTGAAGTCATAGCTCGCTAAGGTTTTAGTCTTTCCTTTAATATGTGCCTTTTGGGCTCTGAATGCTCCTCAGCCTCCTGCATTAGATCTGCATTCCACTGTTATATTTCATATCCCGGCTGTTTTAGCATATGATGTTTCAGTACACTTACTAGTTGTTATGGTGAGTTATTCTTATACTCATGGCTTCTTAGAAGTATTTTGCTTAAAATCCAACATTTAAGGATTTTTCTCTTCATGTATATTTTTGTGATTAATTTGTATCTGCATTCTACTGTGTACAGAGTCATACTCTACGTGACTTCACTCCTTTGAAATTTGTCAGGACTTGCTCTGAGGGGCAGGAATGTGGTCGGTTTGGGTAAGAGTTCATGTACACTTAAAAGAATGCTTTTGTTTTGGGGATTTTTTTTTGTAGTAGTTGGGTAAACTGTACTATGCACTAACTAGGTCACATTGTGTAGTTCACGTGTGATATGGTTTTACTTATTTTTTGTTATTTTATTCAACTTGTGAAAAAAGAAGTAGTCACAAATTGCCAACCATAGCTATGGACTTGCCCACATATACTTTTAATTCTATAATTGCAATATATGTATATAGTATATATTATCCTTTTATGTGTAAATATATATCAATATGTATAAATTGATATATTTAATTAATATAAATATAAAGGATGAAGGTGCCCAACATCCTTTTAATTCTATAACTGTAATATATACATATATAAAGAGAACATCCATAAAGATATAGTATTAAATGCTCTGAAATTTAGAATTTTAAAATTCATTCTTATTGAATTGGCCCTTTTATCACTAGTGATACAAATTATTTTTCTTTTTTCCTAAGACTATGTCTTTCCTTAATTTCTTCTGACATCAGCATTCATCGCATCAGCTACACTAGATCTTCGACACTTTGAAGTGTTTTGAGTGTTCTACCTTTAAATTTAATACTATTCAATTTGATTTTGTTCTTAATTAGAAGGGTAGTCGGCACCAACTATATAGCTAGAAATGAAAGTCGGCAAATCATACTAAACCTTCCTTATCCGACTGATGAAATTAGCATAAGTGGATGTCAGGAACTATCCAGGTTTTAGCGTTATCCTTTAGTAAGACTATCTAAAGAGTCTTGCCATGTAAACAACACCGAGCTGTGAGCCAGGAGATTTATTCCTAGCTTTGCCAGGTGAGGGTGCTTGAACAGGGACTCAGGGTCCCCAAGTCCTGCTCCGTTCATGGAGTGTGTAGGAGCCCAGACAGGACGATGCATGTGCCCCGCTCTGTTCCCTGGGGACTTTCCTAGCCCTGTCCCAAAGGCAGCCTTCCCTCTGGCTCCCCCAGTTCCCAGATAGCCCACTATGCTGTTCCCCAAATCCATGTCCACTCAGAGTGTGGAGACTTTGCAGTGTGGGTCAGGCCTTGAGAAAAAGTTGGGAATCTTTATTAGACAAAGGACAGGGAGAAGAAGGCCCCGGGAAGGTCTGCTGAGAGCCTGTGGACTCGCTGGCACTAGGGTTGCAGACTCTTGGCCTCAGGAAGCTGGACTTGCGCTCTATGGGAGAACGTGTTTTTGCTGTTGGCGACACCTGTTTAGTGGTGAGCTTTGATAGCCGCC